ATGAAAATATGAAATTCTAGAAGTTGTTGACGTGACAATGCTAACTAAAGTCTAAAGGCCTTTCGAAACGAAGCATTGGTTTGTGTGTAAAGAATTTTAATTTTTTCATTTCTTTATAAGGCTACAGGTTGTTCTTCGAATTAGTTGTGTACTTTTGGGAAACATCTGGAAATTTCTGCCTTCTGTAAGATTGTGTGAGAATTTTATCACCTAAAGAATTAATCGTTAGGTTATAGGCAGGGATAAAACGTATTTACCGAGCACAACGTTACACTGACACTGAAGGTGGACAATGGCAAACTTTATGTTTTGAATTCTTTTTTTTTTTGTTTAGCTTTTTAGTCAGTTTTTTGGCGCTTACTCGGCTATTCATTGTCGTAACAAGGTTGCTAAATAATGAAAATCAAAACTAATTAGACTCTCAGTAGTAAGGCCAAGTAGTAGCAACTATAGGGCGGCACGGCCAACTATAAAGTGCTTTACATCATTTACCTTAATACAGTTACTCATGCAGTTGCTTATACGGCAAGAGGTCAAAAAATTGGCGCATCCGAAACATATCGTTCATTCTTGGGTCAAAGCAAGTCACTGCACCAGATTTCATCAATATCTGAAGAATTGTGAGATATGAAATGAACGCAACAACACAAGGATGGCAGACGGATAGGCAGCCAACCAAGCATAGATTTATTGAGAAAGTCCTTAATCGCTTTAAAAAAGAGCGGGTTTATCTCTAGTCCTTCTGGGACTTCTGCATATATCAGCACAAACTTAAGATGTCCTTGTAACGCAAGTGGTGTGGGGTATACAAATTTTAAAACTAACTCAGCAAGTAAATAAAAATGCTATATATTTCTGGAAAGGGATAAAAGAAATCAGCTCAGTGTCGGAACTTATTTTTAAGAAAGATATTTTGTGTGTCAATGTAGGTAGAGGGTGAAAACATTAAGAGATTCCTGAAAATTGTCAACCAGACGAATATTCATTAAGATTGCTATGCAGCAGATGTCACGCATTCTTGAAACAAGGGAAGAAAACCAATCGGTCGCAATCACAGGCAAACGCGTATTTAAATATTAAAAGAATCTGACTTGCGATGAGCAAAAAATACTTTCAAATTCCTCCATACTCTAAAGAGTACTTTAGAGAACACTGGCGTGCAGCTACAGTGAATAATCAGTCAGTAGACGACGCATTCGCTAGCGGTCATTCCTCAACTATTCCATTTCTCTTATTTCTTTCTGGCCAATCCCGTGCAACATTGGTTCAGCTAACGCACGAGAAAACGAGAGCCATCGTATTTTCATCTAACCTAGAAATTTAAAAATTCAGAAGACACCAACATAGCCAGGCAGGCGTGTATTCTTTTTATTTCAACCCCTCACAGGAATGGGAACATGACAACTCTTAAGCATATTAGTTGCCGGTGGCATGGGAATTCATTTCGAAAATGTCAAAAGATTTTTTATTGGGAAATCTGGACGATTAGGCGTTACGCGCTAAATATGAGAAAAAGTACACAAAAAAACCTTTTAAGACTCAAGACAGCAAGCAGAATAGTCCCGATGCGGGTTAAGAAGTTCAAATTCGAAGATACGTAGACTTGTCTTTAAAACATCCTTTGCACGCTTTGCCTATTCCCGCAATATGCCAGAAATTCTTATTTAACATAAACAAACATTGAATAGTAACCTATTTTAATTATTAGTTGTGTTAAATAATGTGTCACTTTTGCCAGCACAAGCAAAACACCGAATGTTACATAATGTACTTCTGAATGTCTCTTCTACACCTCGCAGAGTACACCTGGCATTTTTACACCTTTTTGTAATGATGAAAACCGTGAAAAGAATGAACGTAAGCACTCTGTATGAATAGTGTTCCGGCTATAATTTATTATAATGGACTGGCGCCAAAAACGTTTTCATATTTCTCGAGTATTTTCATTTTGTCACGAAATTTCTCTTTCTCTCCCTCGGCTGTATTATGTAGTGCATGCGGTGCTATTCAAAGCAATATTTTTTATATTTACATTCGAAATGAAAAATTAATTAATAAACAAACTTTTTACCACAACATTAAACTTTTTTCAACCACAAAGAGCTATTCCCTGTACCAACGCATATCGACAGTACTTCGGCAACAAAAAAACTAAAAAGGCAAAAAAATAGGAATTGTGTCCAGCTCGAATCGAATATTTCGACACCCATCACCTTGTTCCATTAAATAGAAAAATACTTTTGACAATAATTGAGAAATATGTCACTCCACTTATATGAAATGAAGCGGGTGGGCGAATGAACAGATAGCCAAACACGGGTACACTGGTTCCGCTACTCCTATGCTTTACAAATGTTTCATTAATCCAAGAATCGCTTATGACAACTACAACAGACAATGCTGGATTTGCAAAAGCTTGTCACTTATAAGTGCACATGTTGTCTACCATTAATTATGCCTTCTACGTTTTTGATTAAAAAGCACCAAAATAGTCGTTTTCTTTTTTCACATCATCACTGTTTATATCCTCGGTGATGCGTCTTTGAAAGACTTAAATTACTAAGACTTCATTCAGAAGACAGCCCAGACTGTAAAATTCTCCTGAGTTGCTGCGGACGCACGCAACAAGAATCATCAAAGCAAAAAGTAGGAGGATCTTAACAAACCCACACGGAACGATAATTTACGTATAAATTCTTTTTTGGTCGGAATAACTTTGCCATCTCTTTCGTGCATATTCAAGAATTATCGGAATATTTATTCGTTGCCGGCCGATTAGCAGCTTCTACCGTACCGTGTCCTACAGCTTACAGATTCTCAGTCAAATGTTTTAAAAAAATTCGATGCTCTTAAGTTATTTGACCAAGGTTCTTAAACTTTCCCAGACAATTTAAATATTAATTACGAATTATATTTGGTAAGGCTTTTTGGCTAGAAGTATAGCGGGACCACTTTTTTTCGAAAATGATTAAAATTTTGAAATGTCGTTATATAAATAACTGTGCGATGCTATAGAGCATTGAAAGGTCGGCCACGACCTACACTACATACAATTTATTTTCACTAGAAATAAAATCAAAAATATTTATAATAGTAATCTTTCTCAGAATATAGAAAAAGCTTTAAAATCCAATTAATAAACACTATTCACCTACACTCCGAACATGTTGTATGAATAAATATATTAACAACAACAAATTAAAATATTGTGTTATTTTTTAAAGGCAAACATACAGCAGAAATGAAATGTGTTTATTAATTTTAGCGAATTTGTTTAATTTTTATATATCTTTACCGTAATGGATGAGAAAAAAAAATTATGAAATATGGATCCAATGATCTTTTTAGCTGGTTGCGTTAAAACGAGAGACAATGAAAATTTCCGATGCGAACCAGTGCGCCCTCTTTTAAAGAGATGAATTTAATCATTTTAATCAAATCATGAATTATCGACGTTGAAGTGATTTGACTCGGTGTGTCGTGTATTTCAATTACAAATATATTTTACTTATTAATGAGTGTTGCCTTGACTTTCCTTCTCAATAGAACATCTACGAGAGAAATCAACCATCAAACTAAAAAATGGTGTGCCCGATCTTATTGGAGAATTCGTTAAATTAATTCGAGCAGCAAAAGGAAACAAAGTCAACTTTTTTCTAAAGTCTGGTTAGCCGGAAGGCCTTGAAATTCAAGGAATCTGACCGAAATTTTCAATATTACAATATGATAACCTTGAATTTTCGAAATAAAATGCCTCATCCTTCAAATTAGCTTCAAATTATCTTATGACCTATTGTTTGGAAGCAGTTGAACGACTCATTTCTGGGAAAGGAAAGAAGTGAAAAAAGTGAAATTGAGTAAATTCATCTGTCCACATTTATATATAGAAAATATCATTACCGAAAGATAAAACTAAATTAAATCAACCAGTTATATGGTGTCATTTGGGTGTAACATATTACTTCATAAGATGGTAGGAGAATATACAGATAATCCCACGGTTTACGAAACATTTGCGACGAACTAATAGTCGACGAATTTTAGATCGTGCCAAGTTTCAAACGAAACGTTTCAAAATTTCGTGATATTTCGATCATTAGTTTAAAAGCTACCGTTGTTTAAGTGTCTCTACGATCGTCGTTTTCAAATCAATGCATGAACAACGCATCGCATTTTTAATAAGAAAAAATATCATAATGGCCTAAAGCTGTTATGGCACCTCTTCTCCATCGAAAACCAAAAATATTCGATAGTTTGCTATTTCCAATCGCCGCCGTAAAAATATCGATGATGCTAAAGGCCAGAAAACAAAAATAAAGTGCACAAAGTAGTCGCAAAAAATTGAATAAGTGAATGAGAATGAATCGAGCGCAACAGTATTAACATTGTGCATGGATTGCACTTCAAATCGCTTCTCCATCCACCGTATTTTTCATATTTACCTCTCTGCCAATAAGAGATATTCACAAATTGCAAAAGATAAAAAATTCTCGTCGGAAAGAAATATGAAAAGACGGTCATCGGAACCGAAAAATGTTTTGAAGGCACCCACAAATCGTTCTACAGAAAATCCATGCAACAGTTATAGAAGCGTTGGATTGAGCGCATTACTTATGCCAAAGCAAAAAGTCGAATTTTGCCTAAAAATTAATTTATTACAGATCCTATGAATTGAATGAAAGATGTGTTATATGCTGTGCATATAACATTTAAGTGATGTTTTATATCATTGGTATATATATAGTCCAGATTTCTGACCTCCGTCCGGGACTGAAAGCTATGGTTTATCGCTTAGCATGGGTGCAGCCAAGGCCACTTCGTAACTGTAAATGTTCGCATTGCAAGAAAGGCTTTTTGTGGCAAAGATTTGTGATATTTGATTTTGGTTTTGTGGAGATGGGCGAAATGTACCAGCAGGGGACATGTAGGTTCATCTTGCCCGACTTATTTCGACTTAATTTTTATTATTTGTTAGGAGTCATTTACACCTTAATGATACGTATTTTATAGATCTAATGATACGCTTGCATTATATTCGTGGCAAAACCTGTTTCTCATCGATTGAAGTGTCAATAACTGTGATGTCTATAATTTTACGCAAATAATACAACCATTTATATTTATAGATTTGTTTATGAATAAATAAAGTTTCAATGGAAATTTATTCTCTACTTATTATTCTTGAATTTAGTCGACCTCTAATTTTCTAAAAGAGCCGTCAATACCGAACAAGCCATTTTGGTCCTTAGTTTCGCCGATTCGCAATTCCTCATCAATACCCCATTCAGTGCTTTTACTAAAGTGATCTCGATATTTATCTAACTTTTTATCCCATTCGTCAATTATTTTTGCAATGCTGCCATTTTCGCCCCCATAATCGTTTGGTAGATACTTTAAAGGGACATATCGGCTCAACGAGTCGAGGGAACTATGAAAAAACATCTGAATAGAACATATAAGAAATAAATAAATAAATTATTAACAATAATTGTGATGATAATGCAGTAATTCCTTGTTTCACGTACTCGGTCTTGCTGTTTAAGCGGCAACATTGGTTTGCCGACGTTATAAACAGTATCAAACATTTTAGGCGCGTTTAAAAAATGGTTAGATTTAATACGCAGTGGTATCGCTTCATAATTATATGTAAGAAATTTTTTTAAAAACATTGGATTCGCTTGGAGAACATGCGTAAGAGCTAGTGTCTTAAAATCATTGATCATCACCAAACCGTTAACAACAGCATAGTCATCTTCTAACATCAAAATATCTTGCAGGACATGATTGACAGCCATCAATTCTTCCACCGTGAATCTTTCGGCTGTAGGAAGACCGCCACGCATGATAAATATACGGGGACCATTATCATGTAGAGGTTTGGGTAAATATAAAAATGGACTGCAAGGAAAGGCTTTCGCTACAGTGAGCACTTGACTTGATTATCTTACTTACCCCAAGCGAAATATTTCCCGAAATCGTGCACTGTCCACGTTAGTTACATTACATAAAGTGGGAAACGCGCTTTTCAAAGTATAATAAGAATCAATTTTTTTTTTAGCCTTCTCCAGGCTATATTTGCATCCTCGCAAGAAAGCAATTAAAAATTGATCATCGATGTTAGCATATAAATGCGCTTGTTCCTCGATCCATTTCCGCAAAGCTTTTAAATCTTCGTATATACGTGTGGGTACTTCATTCAATTCTTCTTTAGCTTTTCTTTGCAAATCTTCGTTCAGTACTCGAATTTGTAACATCCTTAACGCACATGAAACGCAAGAACTCTTTGCTGAATTTTTATTGAAAGAGAACAGAAAGAAAACTTTCGATTTATGAGAAAAACGTTTACGCTTATGTCGTTTGCTTCTATTAGAATATACTGAAACGATTTAATTATTTTCTATATTTTAATTCGACTGTAGTTCTTAGTAAACACGTTCTCCTTGCCCGCACAGTAAAAAACAACTAATTTTGAGACTTTATCGATTCATTAATAATCCAATGCATTCGCTATTAAGCTTAATTAAGTGGGACTTGTTGAGGCTGTTATTAATTTAACGACCTTTCGTTGAACTGGTGATTTAACGATCAAAGCAATTTGCTGGCATACCTTCCGATTCGAACGCTTACGACCGAAAATTCAAAAACACATTTGACTTCATAATACAACTTCTGAACAATGATCGCCCACATATTTCAGGCGATTGTTTTAGGAACCTGTCCAAATGTTCCAATTTGTCTCCAATTCGATTCATATTCGAAAGGTTTACTTTAGCGGCAATTGGCTCATGTGTTCAGCAAATTAAATATCTTTTATAGATAAAAGAGCTTTCCTGGTGAGGCGATCGTGTAAGGCACGTTCTTATTTCATACCCTTCAGCAAACGCAGCCCCTCTATGTTCTTCACAAGATTCTTGATTGCTTTAAAATCTATAAAGAGCTAGTGATATAGTATACAGAAAATGTAATATCTGTAGCTAATAACGCGAATAACGAGTTTTATATTAATAATATGTTTATGTTCCTATATAATAATAATGTGTTATATGAAGGCTAATTTTTGCACACGCTACCAAGGGAGGAGGGTATAAAATTATCGTGTGAAAATGTTTGATGTACTTAGAATGAAGTTTCACACACGCTCTGAAGAGTGCATACTCTTGATCAATATCAAATTTTGAGTCTGTCCGTCCGGCTAGATTTCAATATATTATCTGTGGTAAACATCCCTCTGGTTGCAAGAATGAAGATGATAGCTTCAAATTTACGAAAACTTGAACATTCTTCCAAGCAGGCAGGTGTTGAGAATGAACCATGTCGATCATCGTGCAGTACAACGTAAATTGTGCTTTTTAAGTTTTTTGTTCGTTCCCGACTTCTTAATACTGCAGACTATCAAGGTTTCCGTCTCTTTCTTTTTTAAGATGAAAGTGGCGGGTGTAGAAGATTCGACCACGCTCAAATACATAATTCTCTTATTCTCTGTCTTATCGATTTGAGGAATTAAATGAGGCCGTTCTCGCGATCACTCGCCATATAACCTATTTAGGTTATATGAAGAAAATTTCCCATTTTTACTATTTCTTGACAAAAATCGTTAACAAATATTAGTTCATATTACATTAGATGAATGCGGAAAATTTGGATAGGAAGAGATCGGTTTTTGCGCGTCTTCTTTTCAGTCTTTCTCACAGAAAGTAGAACTTTGTACGGCAACCAGTTTTAACTTGGACTTATGATGAAAGTGAAATAACGGCTTTGCATGTAAATGCTTTATGGTAGGCGTCAACTGCAGATATCGTTGCTTCGGAACCCATACACTTAAAGATTAGCATGAAAGGTATGATGGTAGGGCATCATTTGCGATATTTTATGACGAAAGAGAGGCAGAGGAAAGTAAGTTACATTCCGGATTTTAATAATCTGTCCTCTCCTACTACAATATTTCACCGTGTTTCGTATTATTTTAGTGAATATAAAATAAAATGACCTGTAGTATTGTTAATATCGTTCTCTAAGATCAATTTAACTGCGAATGTCTAAAAGACGATCACTTTAGCCTTACATTAAAGACAGTGTATCTGTATAGAGAACAAGTCAAATGTTTGGATTGTTGCAAGATGGACTTTCATACGTTTGCATGGAAACAAAAACGCTCTTGTAGAATAGTAATAAAAGGTTTAGACCATTCTATGCTTACTGCTAATGTAAAATCTACACTGGCTTTATTAGGACATCAACCATATAATATTAGACTTTCAAAATAAAGAAAATGAAATAGTCGTCACTTACGTTTTATTTTGACCTGCACTCCAAAACAAACAATAAGGACATCTTTAAGGTTAGACGCATTAATCGCCTGCTATAAGTTCTGCTGAAACTGCCAGAAAAACCGTTGAAATTGTGCATTGTGACAGATGCGAGCTTTTTTGTCACACCAAGACCCATTGTTTTTTTTAGACGCCATATAATTATTGATTGTTATTTTTTCTATTCGGAAATATCGGTTACTCCTATTGCAAGAACTATTCCAGGCGATTTTATCTTCGTTATTTATATTTCGCCATGGATAAAGAATCCCACTGCCCGATTAAACGTTATGAATCAACATAGTTTCTTTGTAATGGAAGTGATAAAGAAGAAATTTATCTGCTTTACCTTATCCAATGGCTAACCGTTACAATATATATACCCCAGTAAGATGCAATGACTTTATGGTTCTTATCTTATCTTACTATTCTACGAGATTATGATTATGATTAATTATAAGAAATGTTAACTATACATATACAGAAAAAGATAACAATAAATGAAAATTGCTTAAACTACGCCAAGTACACACTCACGCCTAAGTGTGTCCACAACGAGTTTTGCGAATTGGGTCCCTACGTTGTGTAAAACGATTTTCCTACTTTAGAATATAAAAAAACAGTCCACTGTGCTAATTGTTTAAAAGCCAACTATAGAGGCCGCCGAATAAGTAAAAGTCTCCATCAGCGTTCTGACGATTTTTTTTACTCTTAATCATAACCATGACGTTTTTCTTAAGACCGATCATACACCGAATAAAAAAAAAGTAAATGCTAATTGACTGAAAAGTCATATTTCATAAAGCAATCCAATGGATAGAAGTGAAAGAACGTAAGCAAAGGAGTATGGAATGCCAACAAACTTCCGAGCCATTCAAGAGAAATAGAAACATTTTACTTTTATATCACGCTGCTCTTATTCTAATTTCCGAAACCCATGTCATGGATCCGATTCACTTTCGTATTAAAGGAGATGATATTGTATCATGTTGCCATCCCGATAGAAGGGGTCGCGTCGGATCAACGGCGTTGGTGAAATCTTCATTCATATTCACTCCAATTGTTGCACTTTGAATAACTAAAATAAGACCCATCTTCAAGCTGCTGGAACGAAAATTATATGTGATAAGTCTAACATTTCAATATATTGTTACGAAATTCGCTTTGCTCGGATATGATTCGTATCGCTAGACCGTGACTTTCCTAAGAGAAATACACGTCCCCGTTTTCACTTTAAGATTTTTTTATTTACAATTAATTTTCTTAAGAGCAGGATTATTCATCATTTATTTTTGGCAATACTCTCGACTTCTCAACTGCAATATTCTTTTTCGATTAACTCTGGCTTCCACAAATATTCTATTTATATACATTTTTTTAAGCATATTACTATTACCTAGTTTCATGGCTTCATTTTTAATCCGTTAACCTGCTTTTTCGTTGGCCAGCAGCTGCATGAAGCGCCGCAAATGTGCACTTGATTTTTCGCTGTCTAGGGAATTTATTTTGTGGAAAAATTAATTAGCTGTAATGGACTGGATTTGGGATTTCCGTAACAATATGTTATTTATTTTTCTTCAAAAGTATTATGATAATTGCACTCTTCAACGTCGACAGAGGAGACTTTACCAATCAAGCATTCTCGGTGGAGCGCAAGCTTAAAAATTCTACGGATAAAGAGCTTTACAAATGTATACAAAAAGGGCTTTCCACTGGAAACCTACTGGCCGAGCAGTCCAAGTAAATTTCCTCATCTACTGGATTTTATTACTTATTCGACTATTTCCGCATAATTTAGACATACTAGTCTAATAATTGAAATTGGGAACATTCGTCTCTTTAATCGAATAGTGTTTCTTTTTTAAAGGTCTACAAGTTAATTTCTTTCAAAAGTGATATGAAATCTTTTAAGTGTTGGCCCGCATAAGATATTAATATCAGAATCCAAACTAAGGACGGATTTGAATTGCATTCCATCGTAGAACGATTCATACGTTTCATGAAGCAACTTCTTAGTCAATTCCAGTTGAGTCATGATCAAGGATAAGATTCGAGTGTCCATTGAAATTAAAAATCTCATCACAATAGAAAGGAGACTTACAAATGTCTTGAAACAACGCAGAAACGGAACAAATAAAACAAACTTATACCGAGTTACTAACTAAAGAATTAAAACAACATTTACTTGGTTTTTTTTGTAAGAAACTTAATTTCGACAAATATGGCGATCATAGACCGCCTGGGTGGCCGAGTAGGCAAGAGTCTCGACTAGCAACTCAGTGGTCGTGGGTTCGAATCTCAAGTGCGGTCGAGTTTTTAACAAAGGCCGACAGCCTTAGATGCTAGTGCTTTTAAGAGTTTAGTCTTAGAATTTATTTCTCTGGCGAACTTAATAATAATAATAATAATAATAATAATAGACTTTAGACTGCTACAAAATATAATTGAAACGGGAAACTTAGAGAAACGCACCAACAAAAGACTCAACTGACACGATAGCAACAAGCTATCGTTAAGAAAGTAAGAAATGTCTAAGAAAATAAAAAGTACTGTTCATCAGTCTTCTTGGAAGTGAAACAAGCTTTTGAGAGTTTGTCATTAAAAAAGAACATTCCTGCTGGTTGCTATTTAGCTTCTTGTTCTTACTTATGAAAGCTCTCATTCCTTGTTAAATTAAGTAGATAATAAAATATCAGACCTCTGCAAAATCAATGCAGGTAGTGTAGTGGATCTTGTGTTCTACATCATATGACGCTAGCTGGAGACGTCACTGTCGCTACATGTGCGGATGATATGATTTTGCTTGCACGCAACGAACGTTAGGACGAATCTTCAAAGCTTGTTCCAATGCAGCTTGATAACATTTCTGTATAACTAAAGCACTAGAATTTAAGGGTACGCACCAAACATTTACTTTGCAAAAGCACAACGGCTTTTCAATGTTTCTAAACGGAATTCAAGCTCCTGAACAGAATTGCATTAAGTATGAAGCCATGCTTCTGATAAAAGCAAGACGCTTGTACTGGCTGATTAATCAAAACTCAAGGGCTAAAAAACTCATTTTAACGTAAGGCATACAATTTTGGTGTACTGCGAGCAAATCCAACGTCAAATTCTTCAATTTTATCAATCAATTGTGCTGACAGCATTACAGTCACAGGCGACCATGGCTCTGCTTCAACTCTCAATACCCTGATCAATTTAGTTATCGTTCAATCTTGCTCACAATAGCTTTAGTAAATCGTAGTAAAGAAACAAATAGACTGAAATAATCACTGTTAGAAAATATATATGATAATATATGTGTTTGTGTATATTCTTAAATCGCTGTAGTAACAGCAGGCAAGATTCGATGTGTGTCTGACATACCATAACTATATTGTAGAATTGTAAACTGTTATTCTCAATAGAGGTTAAAACACACGAAAACTTTTAGGGCTGACGCATTTGCTTATTATTGTGAAATTGATTTTAATTATATGTATATATAAAAAGAAATTTGAATATGACTGACATTATTTAAGATTCTGAGCGATGCAATTTTGATTAAGCTAATCATGAGGTTATTTATTAGATCTCAGTTTCTATATATTATTTAAATTCCAATTTCCTGTTCTTAAGTGGATTTTTTTATATTTTCTGAGCGGACCTCTTTCTCGTTCATTCCTTGGCCACTCGTATAGGTTTTACGATAAAAATTAACGAAAAGTAAAATGAAAACGGAGGTGTTTGTTATTGTCCAGAACATAGTTACATTGGGTGACTGACAACCTTTGACAACAGTTGCAATCAGGTAGATTTGAGGCACCCAAAATTGTCCTATTTGAATTTTGGTTAAATATGCTTTCCACCACAAATACTTCTGATATTGCGGTCCCATTGCGCCAACTAAATAGTAGAAATACATAATTACGTGGACTCCTGTATTGAGTGCCCCAACAATTCCAAATTCTTCCCTTACTGTAAAATAAAATCTTCATAATATGCTATATTTTCTATATGTGGCAAACTTACCTCCTATATATTTCAGTGTAATCCATGCTATAAGTACCATAACTGCATGATGATATACATGTAAGAATGTGATCTGCTCGTTTTTTTTACGCAATATCATAAATATTGTATCCAAGAGATCAATGATTTTATTTATTAAAAACAACCAAC